GAAAATCCACAAGATAATCAGGCTAAGCAAATTTAAGTCCTCACATAGTGTTTTAGCTGTAGCTGTCATTCAAGGATCACTTCTGAAGTCTCTTACTTAGGTTAAACCCACATATAACATCACTGGAACTAGAAGCCAACATGAATGAGAACTTCAGAGTTTGACCTAGGATCATCTCCAAACTGTAGTACTCTACTCAGCACCATCTGCAACATTTGAACTGCTCAGTCTTGGAGTCAGGTGAAAAATATGGGCCAAATTCTCAGAAGTGACTAGATATTTTGGATGCTTCAATTTTTGGATGCTCACAATGCCCTAATTTTCAGAGGGTAGGTGCTCTGCACACTCTGATATCTAGGTCCCTTTCAGGTTTCCAGTTGGATTTAAAAAAGGGGACCAGAAATCACTAAACATTTTTGAAAATCTTGGCCTTGAATCCATAAAATTCCTTGGGGGAAAAAACTGACCAAGATATTTCTAATGACTGGTATTGCAGACATGATTCGTAAAACTAACTGAGCAAATTTATTTCAACCGTGGCTTAATGTTTAGGTCTCAGCGTGATCTACAAATAATATTCAATAATATTCAATAATACAAAAAATATTCATCCTTCCCCCTCCTCACAATTCAAATATATCTGAAATGGGTTTGCTTTCAAACTTTCGCACATACAACCTCTCCTGCCAAAAAATATCCTGTCAAATCAGCTGAGATTTTTGCAGAATAATGTCACCCCCAAAGAACCATGTTGTGAAACTTACAGCAAGCCAGAAAAAGGACTGGAAGAGCATGTATTTATTATTAGTACTACATTAGTGCACAGAGGCACTGAACCGAAGTCAGGTCCTCACTATGTTAGGTGCTGCATGTGCATGTAGTAAGAGCCAGTCTCTGCCTCAAAGGGATTTTGATCAAAACAAATCATCATGCTGCCTTTTCTCTCTGCACAATAGTGAGAATATAAGGAAATAGCTGAGTTCCAGATACCCATGGCAGTACATAAATACAAACATGCTACACTTAGTTACCTAACTACACTGTTACTCTTCTAGGTTTGGTGACTTCTGCAACAGAAGACAAGGAGGCCCACTAGTGGGCATCCAAATTATTTAACAGGACACGACCCAATTCCTATCCACCTCCCTGGTCCAGCACCTTTAGGATCTGAGTGGTCCCGAAGGAGGGATTTTGCTGGACCAGGGGAGGTCATTTATGCTTCCCTGCCACCAGCCCCCTACCCCGGCTCCACTCCTGGTCTAACCTCCCAGTGGGCTCCCCAGTACAAGTAGCTCCACTGTCCTACCATAGCAGACTATGATCCCTCTGCTGGGGCTCTCGGCTTCGCTGTGGCAGACCGCTGCCCGACCAGAGCCTCAAGCCACCCTGCCACCGGCTGAGCTAGACACCCACAGTGGGGATCCCAAACTCTGGCCTCTGGGCAGCCAGTGTGGCTGCGTTCCCAGCCCCACAGGGCTCCTGCCTCTGGCCCTCCACCACATCTCTGGTCCAGCAACAGCTGTGGTCCTGCTGGACCATGGACGTTGCCGGACCAGGGAGTCCTGGTTGAGAGAGGTTCAACCTGTACAATCACTCAGACCAAATCTTAGCTTTAGGAGCTTTGCTACCCAGGTCTACTATTGTGACTCTTTGTGTTTAATATTGTTTGAGTCCCCTAGGGAGTGCAGGACCTTCTAGGCCTTTATTAGCCAACAACATGACTGCTTCAAATCATCCATTCAGGGTAATTAGGGTAAAAGAAGACACTTGAGCAATGTCAGCATGCCAGCATCAAGCCTAAATGTGTCTCACTCTTACCTGGATGCTACCCATCCAGTTCCGCACAGCCACAAAGGAGCACTCCGCAGTGATGTCATACATCACAAAGATACCATCCACCTTCCGGAAATACTGCTTGGTGATGCTCCGGAACCTGAAGTCAAATGAAACCGAAGGAACTTTCAGCACCCATCCAGCTGTTAACAAGCGCACAAACTGTCCCTGTCTTACATGGACCCTTCTTTGCAGGGCCTTGTGGTTATGAAGGCAAGTGTCTCCAACTCAGACTCTTGAGATTCCATGTCAGTGGAGGGGCCCAGGGCAGCAGTGAATAAACAACCATCTGTCCAGAAGTGGGGTGTTTAGGCAGCAAGAGGGAAATCCATGCAGGGAACAGAGAGGCGAGTCCATCTGGATGGGATCAGGGAGAAAGATGAAGGCATTGTTGGGGTAAATGTGGGGTGGGAGCTGGGAAATCTCTGCATCTGTAACTTGGACCGTTCCTACATTGGGATTTCAGCCACTGGTTTAGCTGCACCAGAGTAAATAGCATTGACCCAGAATAAACCACGTCTACATGAGGGCTCTGCACCAGCACCGCCAAACCAAGTCAATCTTCTTCCACATTTCCAGTTTGCAAATGTCTCCTACAAAGTAGTGACCTCCTGAATGACTCCGCAGATAGATTTACAATCCAGGAGACACTCCGGGTGCTTGGGTCAGTAGGTATTGTGTCTTGGGGGACATACATTCTAGCTGGGTGTTTATACTGGCACATTGCTCATGGAGTTAAATGCAGGACAGACCGCAAGGCCATATTAGTGCTTTATTAGAAGGTCACGTTAGGACACAGGCTGACAAGTCGTTCCATTCTCTTGGGCAAAGGCTAGAAGAGCATGCAGAAGGAAGTGATGTTTCTAAACTAGATAACCCTGCTTCCCATGGAGTATGTTCTCTACTGTGGCCTGCGGGGTGCTATTTACACTAAGGGCTGGCATCAGGAAATGTCTTCATTTGAAGGAGCCAACAGCACCTCTGACACTTCAGAGCACACCAGACAGTCGAGTGGTGACCACGTGGCATGGTTGTTTGCATCTATGGGCCAAAAGAAATCATCAAGAAGCTTCTCCCTGGGGTGGGAGCGTTTGCTCCCCTTGCTTATATCAAACACTTGGCTGGATGCTGCCAGTTAGGAGGAGACACATCAATATTTTCAAAGCTAAGAAAGGTGTTTGCATCCTTGCAAGGTCCTGACTCAGGAAAGCAGGCAAGCCACATGCTTAGTTATAAGCATATGCGAAAGCCCCGCTGATTCCAGTGGAATTTACACACATGCTCAAGTGCTCGTTTCTGTGTGATCGAACCTCAGGGAACGCGTGTTACAAGTAGGTTGGAAACAATGATCGCCTGACAGCTCTGCCTGGGACGTATCTGAATGGAAATTGCGCTTCTTTACCTGTGTCTGATTAGGGGCAGTCTCTCTATATAACCACCAAGTATATGGCACTTCTGGGTTGCAAAATCTGATTGGCTGAAATGGGGCTTGCATCATTGTCAGTGGCCAGCATAGGGTCACACAACATGGTCACCTCAACCTCATGATGAGATAGAAAACATATTTAGAAGAAAAAAATACACCGTGTTTGAGACAATTACAGCATATTTATCATAGGATCCTACGGCTGGAAAAGACCTTAGGAGGTCGAATCCAGCCCCCTGGCCCAAAGCAGGACCAACCCCAACTAAATCATCCCAGTGAGGGATTTGTCAAGACGGGACTTAAAAACCCGCTAGGGATGGAGATTCCACCACCTCCCTAGGAAACCCATCCCAGTACTTCACCACCTTCCTAGGGAAATAGTTTTTCCTAATATCCAAACTAGACCTCCCCCACTGTAACTTGAGACCACTGTTCCTTGTTCTGTCACCAGTGAGAACAGCCTCTCTCCAGCCTCTTGGGAACCCTCTTCAGGTAGTTGAAGGCTGCTATCAAATCCCCCCTCACTCTTCTCTTCTGCAGACTAAACAAGCCCAAATCCCTCAGCCTCTCCTTATAAATCATATGCTCCAGCCCCCTAAGCATTTTTGTTTCCCTCTGCTGGACTGTCTCCAATGCATCTACATCCTTTCTGTAATGGGGGGCCCATTACACACCCATGCCACACCCATGCAGTTAAATCAACACCTTGAAGGGGTAAATTCAAAACACGGCATGATTAAACATGAGCCATACATAGTAAATAAAGGTAGCTCAGTCTAACAAAGTGTGGTTCTTTGTACCCTCTAGTGGCCAGACCGCAGAAGAGGTTTACGATTGTGTTCCTGGCTCTAAGAAGCTAAAGGAGCCAATCCTGGATCTTAAGAAATAGAGGTTGGTGCTTTTGGATCCAGAGGTCCAACCCCAGCCTGGGCCATTGTTACACACAATTATTTCCCAACTCTCCTGGAGGCATCATGTGCTGGTTTGAGTGTCACCTGCCTGTTGCTTTCCAGGAGCATGTCAACTTTGGAGAACTCTGAAGGCCAGCATGAGTTTG